ATGATATTAGCAGCCTTTGAAGAAAATATGTATAATCTAATTAAAGAAGAAATAAATAAGTATGAATAAAAACAAAGAATTATAAAAATAATGAAAATTACAATTACTAAAACAGACTGGTATTATAAGTTAGAAGAAAATCAAGGAGATTATATAATAGAACATTTTCCTAAAAAATTAAAAATAATAACATTAATTATAATTAAAGAATTACCTAGAGAAATAAGAGAACAAATATTAGATAAACTAATAATATGATCTATAATAGATGAATAATATATGGAAAAATTATTACAGAATTTGACAAAGAAGAAATTATGTTACAATGTAAAGAAAAAATAAATGAATTATCATTAATAAATTCTTAACTAAATATGGAAAAAAATGAAAAATCTGGCTAAAAAACAAGAAATAATAAAAATAATAAATCACCAAATATTAAATGAATTATTAATTCCTGACGATCAAATAGTTCCTAAAAGATTAACAAAATATCAAGAAAATCATATATTAAAACTAAAACAAGAAAAAACATAATGAAAGAGCAAACTATTATGAAGAATTAAAAGAATTAATACATAACAAATTTACATAACAGAAGTATGATAGAATTATAAAAAATTGTAAAGATGTTGGATGTGAGATTTATTATCTTAGCCAATCAAAGAAATGATAATGAACAATCATATGGAAGAATTAAAAGCATTAATAAAAATATTAATAATTGATGTACAAAATTTAAGAAATGAAATGAAAGAAGAAATAAATAGATTAAAAATTGAAATTAGAGAATTAAAAGGAAACAATAAATGTAAAGATAAGAAAATAGATAAAAAATAAATAGAAAAAGAGATGTCGAGAATTGGAAAGAAACATATAGAACAAGAAAACTTAGTAATAGAAGCAGGAAGTATGGATGATAATTTCAAAAGAAATATTTTACCAAAAATATTAGAAAAAGAAGAAAATTTCAAAAAATTATTAGGGAAAGGAGAAAAAGAAGAAGAAAAAATTGAAGAAGAAAAGGATGAATGAAGAATTAAATTTATTAATAGAAAATTTTGATCAATTAAGTTTAGAAAATATAGATGAATACCAAATTCTAATGAATATTGGAGGAGGACCTACTCCAATAGAAACCTCTAATCAAAAGTTTGATCCAGATGAAAGTTATGCACCTATATATAATAAACCCTATAAACAATTCTATGATAAGGTAAGAGATAGACAACCACCCAAAGAAAATAAATATAGAGATAAATTTGAATTAAATGATAATTATGATAAACCAATTAATCATGGAGGAACAAAATTAGATCTAAATTGTAAGTTAGATACTATGGCAGATTCAATAATACTATTCTTTTTATATAACAAAGATGATGAGAAAATATAGAAAGAAGAATAGATTTCTTAATAGCATCATTTGAAGAAAATGTTAGAAACTGGTGGGAAGGAGTAAATGATGATACAAAAACACTAATGAAAAGAAATATACAAACAGAAATAATAAAATCAGATAAACAAGGAATAGAAAAATTAGTAGAATATATTGCAAATGAATTCTTAGGAGAATAATGGATCAGAAATGCTGAACAAGAAGCAAAAAGAGAAAAAGATGATGCTAGGATAAAATTAATAAATTTAACAATTTGTGACATGTGTAAGATAAAAGAATATATTTGTGAATTTAGAAATTATTATTATGTACAATTCTATAGTAATGAAAGTCAGGAAGTATACCTAGACGTGTACTATACTAAATTACCAGGAACACGGGGAATATATTTTAAGATAGAATTTGAGAAATATCTTAGAGACAATATTGGAGTACCAAGAACCTTAGGATCAAGAATAAAATTTTTATTTGATAGACTTGCATATATATGTCAACAAAGGCAATTATTAAAAAGATCAGGAAAATTAATAAGAATATGTTGTGAAAATATGAAAAAACCTACTCAATGGGATGTAATCCTGAAAGGAAAAATACTAAAAGAAAATATAAGAATAGAAAATTTTAAAAATTCAGAAATTTTAAGAAAAACATTTAAAACCAAGAAGGAGATACTATAAAAGGAGGTATAATTCAAATAAACAATAAAAGAATAAATCTTATAAAAAAGATAAGAGCCAATTTAAATGTTGGAATTATGGAGAAATAGGTCATATAAGTTCAGATTGTAATAAAAAAAAGTTAGGATATCACAAGTAGAATATTTAGAGATAGAAGATGAATTAAGTGAAATATTTGACATTGAAGAATATTATGATCGAGAAGTATATATAAGTGAGACATGTTCAGAAAATAATGGATAAGAATCCCAATAAAGAAATTTGAGGAAATAGAAAACGATAATATAGAAATACAAGAATATGAAGGAATAAAAGATTATGGATTAAAAGTAACTTTTGATAATAATAAATTCAAGAAATTACAAAAATTATCTTTAGATTTAAAAATAGGAAAATGGGAAATCTTTGATAAAATATGGAAAAAAGATAGGATAGCTATAAATGAATATCATAAAATTGAAAAAACTATAAATGTTAGAACAACCCAAAGAACACATAAATTAAACCCTTTAACAAAAAATACAGTAGAAGAACTGTTATAAAAAATTAATAAAAAAACAAAGTGAAAAGATTCAATATGTTTATTTAGTTGGAATGCAAATAATGTTTAAATCCTTATTTAGAGAAGAAATAGATTCATCATTAACTGTAAGTTTACATGATGGAAGAATAGTAAATACAAGAGATAGTCATTTAGGAACTATAGAGGGAAACCTAACATATCAAAAAATGATATTTGCTTGTTATCCAAAATATTGTATATCGTTAAAAGATAAAAACTTTAATGAAGTCTTATGATTGCATTTTAAGTTACATAGGAATGAAATAATGCAATCAGGAGACCAAATTATGACTATTGAATATAGTGCCTTATATACATTTATCAACTCTAATTATGGAAACATTTATTCCAAAAAATCATATATAAAAGTTCATAAGGAGTGTAAAGATATCAACAAAAATATAGAACCAAATAAGCAGGTAAACCTGATTCCAAAAGAATATGAATTTAAGATATCAACAGAAAAACTTGAGATTGTAGAATTTAGAGAAGAAGAATATCTTGATAAAAATATAATATTAAAAGATGAAAAATTAATAAAAAGGTCAAAGAGCCTTAGAATACCTAATAGAAAATTATTAAAAGGAACTAGTTATACAAGAGAAATAAAATTTCATAAAAATATAGGAAATATGAAAATTAGTGGAGAATATTTTAATGGAAGAGAAAAATATCAGGACCAAACATATTAATAGATACATGAGCTAGCGAATGTCATATAGTTTCAATAAGAAATAAGAGATTAGTACCTTATAAGACTGAACCATATAAATATGTAAATTTTTATGGACAAATGCATACTACGAAATCAGAAGTAAATGTACGTATAAAAATAGGAGGAATGGATTTTATAGTACCATGTTATATAGATGGAAGCATGAATATAAACCCTCATATATTACTAGGGATGAGTTCTTAAATGGATTTGAAAATTATAGTATAAAGAGAGAATGATTATATATATTTCATAATGGACAAAATATATTATGTAACAAAAAAATAATTGAATAACCTTATAAGCTTTCCATTAGCTGTAAATATACAAGTTACTATTATAGAATCAGATATAACAACTTGTGCCTTAAGAGATACATGAAGTGATGTAACTATATTCAAGAATTTCTTCATAAAATTATGGGATAATAAGAGTAAGATAAAAATAACAGGAGTAACATGGGAGGATACTCAAATAATAAATAGTGCCGAGAAAATTAGTATAATCCTTAAAAGTAAACAAATAATAATAAATAAGATGTATAGTTATAATAAGTTAAAATGTGACATATTATTAGGAAATGACTTTATACAACAATTCCAATATTATAAACAAAATAATTATACGATAATGTTACAAACCTCTTGTAGACATTTGTTAAAAATACCAAGAGAATTTAGACCCTACAGAGTTTAGCCAGCCCAGTGTGGTGATAGGTGGGAGAAAAAACCAATTATACATAATGAGATTAAAAACAAAAGATAAAAGTATAAAAAAGTCCTAAAAATTGAAGTACGTATAGAAAGAATTATAGAACAGTTAGAAAAAGTATATGGAGAAAATCCATTAATATTTTGGAAACCGTACCATCCTAAAGCAAAAATAGAATTAACAGAAAATATAATCATAAGTGTTAGACGAATGATGTACACCATAAAAGATACACAAAAATTTAAAATTCAGATAAAAGAATTATTATATTAAAAACTTATTAGACCAAGTAATGGACCCCATAGTAGTCCAACTTTTATGATAATGAAACATTCTGAGCATGTTGGAGGAAAAGCCAGAATGATTATAAATTATAAAGAATTAAATAAGTATACTACATTTGATTGATACTTTTTACCAAACAAAGAAATCCCAATAAACCTTGCAAAAAGAAAACAA